GAAGTGTCGAAACAAATCAGATCTAAACTACACCATATGTTTATGAACTTGCTTCCATGCTGAACTTGAGTCCACGGTGACACATATGTATATCTGTAATTGTATATGGGGGCCTCTATGGCAGAGTGGTCTAAATAGTTCAACTACTATCTGAAGGATGATGCTTCTCTCTGGGTACTCAAGCTTCCTTGACCAATAAAAATTGACTGCCACAAAAAGGCCAAAAGTGCTGAAAGTGGTGTTAAACATAAATCAATCAATTAACTATAGTTATTAAAGGGATGGTACAATGTACCAAGAAGTTGACAGATTAAAATAAACCATTCAAAACAAGACAGCAGATCAGTTTGAAAGTAAAACTTTCAGAAAAGCATATACGTATGTATGAATATAGCTGGTATATAGAAAATATCAATACGATTATAGTTTATACATGGAAAGTGTCAGTATGTATTACCTCGGTATAAGGAAAGTCTCAGTTTAAATATAACTTATACATGGAAAGAGTCAGTATGAATATAGGTTTTACATGGAAAGTATCAGTATGAATATAGTTTATACATAGAAAGTGTGAGTATAAATATAGCTAAGACATGGAAAGTGTCAGTATGAATATAACTAATACATGTAAAGTGTCAGTATGAATATAGCTTATATATGGAAAGTGTCCGTATGAATATAGCGTATACATGGAAAGTGTCAGTATGAATATAGCTTATACATGAAAAGTGTCCGTATGAATATAGCTTATACATGGAAAGTGTCCGTATGAATATAGCTTATACATGGAAAGTGTCAGTATGTATTACCCCGTTATAAGGAAAGTGCCCATATTAATATAATCAGCATTGGAAAGTGTTTGTAAGAATTTACATTGTATTAGAAACATTCAGTATTAAAGGTCATTAAATAAACCTGTACGAATAAGCGTATATAGAAGGAAAATTTTGGTAATTCTGTACAAGACCAGTTCACCTGCTGTAAATAAAAAAACAGGTAATTCATGAAAAAGTTCAGGCCATTTCAGCTGATACCAAATATCATAATCAAATAGTTATGTTTAATTGTAATAATATTAATATTTCATGTGATGATAAAACAAAGTTTGTGGTTAGTCCGGAACCTGATGTTCAGTGGTTGTCGATGTGTTTTATAAGTGTTTCTCGTTTCTTGTTTTTTATATAGATTAGATCGTTGGTTTTCCTGTTTGAATGGTTTTAAACAAGTCATTTTGGGGCCCTTTATAGCTTACTGTTCGGTGTGAGCCAAGGCTCCGTATTGAAGGCCGTGCTTTGACCTATTATGGTTTACTTTTTCAAATTGTGACTTGGATGGAGAGTTGTCTCATTAGCACTCATACCACATCTTCTTATATCTATATTACCCTATTATTATTATACAGTATTTTTAACAGCGCAGTACCTAATATCGACTTAAATTCAAATGCAAAATATGTCTTTAAAAATGTTGTAATGTTGTAATCAGTTACATGGTCAGAAGTGGATGGGAAAAATAACTATTAATTATTCTTTTATTATGTCAAATTGTAGTTACCGTCCTGTCCACTTACTTGTTATTGTTATGGGTGAAAATACAACAAAAGTTTTAACTATTCAGGAACGTCACTTTGTTTTGTGTATAATGATTTCTTAACCTCTTATTAACATCTTCAATCATCTTAACACAGTTCCAGCATCTATATCTAGCATATCTACGGTTTTCATTACAAAAGAACGACTTAAATGAGTAGCAGACCAGCCACAGGCACTTGTCTCTTAAAAAAAATAACTATACACCTTATTATATATCAAGGTATATAGGGTTTTTTCCAAGACAAGTGCCTGTGGTAACAGCAAATTAATTTGCGATCAGATTTTCCGAAGAACCATTTTATAACGTATACAATTTACTATTTTATCATGATGTTCTATTTCATCAAATAATGAGGTTATTTTTGTATTTAATGTTTTTATGAACTAAGTATATTTATGATACATGCCCTATGCCTTATTTGAAGATGTCTTGCGTATTTCTATTTTAAATATAGTGTGATGATCTTACAACATAATATGCTTTTTGTTTGTTTAAGTGTTAAGTTTTTTACTAGGAGTATCGTAAATGATGATTTTAATCTGATATTAGCCGTTGTATTCGCATTCATGCATTTCAGTTTAATTCTGTCTCCTAGTTATGGATCTTTTATTTTGGAGTATGTGGTACCGCAGCACTGACTACTCAGTTGATGATACCCAAAGAACTAACAGACCACCAGCAGTGGTATCGACCCAGTGCTAGTAAATGAAAATAACTCTATTAATTTCGTGCGTCCGATGCCCTTTTCTGGATTTACCATCAGCAGGAAGCGCCAAAACAAAGCCAAAGTTATACATGACCTAAAGTTGGAACCGTAGTTTCTTAATAATTTATTTATTTATCAACAGAAAATTTAAGAAAAGTTTGTTATAATTTTTTTTAAGTAGTACCGATAGAAGCAATAACCCCGACTTTTCGAAAGTAAACTGCTGGTCCGATACCCGGTTAAGAAGAAGCAGTAAAGTTATTAATTGCCTTTAATTAAATAAATTGGCGCAATATTATTCTATATGTATTTTTAAAACTAGTGTCGTAAACGTAGCAGTAGCACAAATGAGTTGAGGCACAAAAGGACTCATTTTTTGGAGCAAACGGATTTCTCCCGTGGTTCAAATATTGCTTTCTTAATTTGTTTGTTTATAAGGTCATTTTCCAGCAATATATAAGGCTCATTGTCCTTAATCATGGCTTTGTAAATTTTACCTGTTCGAATGATTGGTTTTCTTAAAAGCCATATATTATGAGGAAGAACTTTCAGAATACAATTGATTTATAGAATATTTCGCATGCTGCCGCATTGCTGATATATTAGCATTCATGCACTCTAGTTACAAACAGTTTAATTTTCTTTAAAAAGCATTGACAAACAAGATCAAGAATGTCATCTAAGATATTAAAATTTCGAATCTAGGCGCTTATTTACAAAACTAAAAATTAGTGATCATAACTTACTGAGAGAAAAGTGCAGATACACTGGATCTCAATTTACCTCGAAATCAAAGAATGTGTCTTATCTGTAAAAGCATAGAAGAATAAAATCACTTTCTTTTTTACTGTCGAAATAACCCCCCTATATATAATATATATAGTCGACAAACTAGGCTATATCAAATACTATTTCCTCGTTGGCTTTACATATATAGGGTTGTAGCACGGTATATACATTCAAATCAGTTTATTTATGTTGTTGATTATGATTTTTATTTTTCACAAGTATAATTATGTATGCTTATATGAAAATAAAGACTTGTTATAACGTGTATAAAACTATGTTCCTCTGTCATGATCCAGTGAATTTAAAATGTTAATTACATGTATATTCATTCTCCTAAATTATTTTAATGTTTATCTGATTAGTTACTTACATCATTATTTGTAATGCTATCGTATTGGCTTCTATATACCACGTTCTCAAGCAGAACGTGGGGCTTGTCTGTTTAGCCATTCCCCAATCACATTAAAGTAACTAGATAATTCGATGTAATGTCCTCTTGTAACACGAGTATAAAAATGTACTTGGTCACTGTCATCCAACCCTTTTACATTCGGTTAAACGAACATAGATCTAATTAATGTTTTGTTTTTTGTTTGAATTCAGTCGCAACATGTGTTTGCGTTAATTGATTACTTTATTAAATTTTATTTGGATGCTTAAGGTCTTTTTTCAAACTTGTGTCCGGTGAACTCCCTGTCGTAACAATGGCAATTGAAATAGAAATAAAGGTAAAATACTTATAATGGTAGCCTGGGGAAAATAATTCATGTTAGAATTGGCTTTGGAGTTTTTAGTAACTGCGAGTTCAGTACCTTATAGTTTTTTTTTCTTTTTGTTATGGTTTGTTGTGTGCCGATCAGATGAGTCGAGCTTCTACTGATTTTTCTAGTTTGTATTTATATTGTGCTGTTACATGCACGTTACATGTCAGGACCCTGTATTTCAGTGGTTCTCGATTGTTGCTGTCTGAAATATTTGTTTTTCGTTTGTTTTTAGCATAAATCAGGCATTTTTTTCTCTTTCAGCTTGTTTCACGTACATGCATGTTTCATGCTGGGTCCTTTTATAACTTACAATGTGGTATGCATTTTTTCTGATTGTTGAAGGCAAAGTGCGCTTTATTTGTTAACATCCTCGACAATTGGACTCTGGTGGATAGTTGTCTAATTGGTAATCATATCACCTCTCCTTATTTTTATATTGAATGTAGACATACAAGATTGGCAAAAGAAATTTTTGTTTCAATGCTGTTTTGGTCGACTTTCTTCGTGTATCAGATAACATAGAAACCAAACAAAACTACCATTACATTGGGAGTGTGATCTATATTAGGATTATTATATATATACATTCTGAATATATAGATAAGAAGATGTGGTATGATTGCCAAGGAGACAATTCTCCACCAGAGACCAAATGACGTAGAAATTAGCAACTATAGGTCACCGTATGGCTTACAACAATGAGCAAAACCAATACCGCATAGCATTATACATAGTCTGCTAATGCAGTTTTATGCATCTATAGTATTGAGGCTGATGTAAATTATTCTTTATGCGCTAATATTATGGTTGATATTTGCGGTGTTAACATGTTATGTCCAATGGTGAACATAACTGCCATCACAGTTAGTTAACAGTTTTATTGTAATTCATTACATTTTTATTTGGTTGGAGTAATTGGATTTGCTGTTTTTTTATAATAATGTTTTGATAAATACCATACATTTTACATTTTTATTTTGGCTTTTTAATATTCAGTTAAAAAATACAGCTTCCACAAAATTGATAAGACAAACGATACTGTTATAAGTGCTTTTAAACTTTATCAGCTTATATCCAAGAGTTTTTTTATAGCAAATTACGGATATTACCTATATTCCACCGGACGGGTGCAAGAATATAATATAATGCCACGCATACATATGGTTTATTTGGTTAAATACACAAAAAAAAAAAACACTTTTTGAAAAATACAATGAGTCAAACAATGGTTAACACTTTTTCTGTTACTTTCTTTTCTGTATCTTGGTTGGTTGTTTGTTTTGAACTGTCTACACTAACTACCTAATTTTTCTGGCTTCGTTCCTCAGAAATTCCTTGATCATGCGCACAGAAAGGACTTTTCTGACTTACATATCATTACAAGCGTCAGTTTCGCCATTACCCTCTTTTTGACATGGAATGCTCGATGATTGATGTTCTTTACCTTTATGCGCCAATTTGTAAAGCTTTTCTCCGGCCTCTTCAAGACGTTTTCGGTATTCAAGTTTTTTATGATGATTATCGGGAACTCCCAAAAGTCCATACATTGCTCCGAACCAACAACCTGCCATAACTCCTGTGCTGTCGTTATCTCCATAATGTAAAATACCCCTTTTACATATCTCAATCCAACTATCTCCCGAGCCGAGCATAGCATCATATGCAATCATTGGAGCATCATGTCCATTAGCCCCACCCCAACCAGAAGAACTTACAGATTCGTAAAATTTATCACGTGCTTCGATTCCATAATCTGATGGGAATTTCGGAAGAGATTTCCCAGATGTAATGTTTCGTGTTTCTAAATAATTTGTCCATGCATTTTCAAAATATCCCCATTCTTTTAAATTCTCATTAACCGCACGACCTGTTTCCTGTATATACTTACGAGCAAGCGGTAGAGTGTCCATTAAACCCGCACCCCACTGCTCTACTGGCTTGTTCTGTATGGCGTAAGATGTAAACAAAGCGGCAGCTAAACTTCCTAAAAATCCCGTTGGGTTGTGATGAGTCATACGTCCGGATTCTATGCCATCGGCGATTAAATCGGATAGATTTTCAGGCTTTGGATATCTAAGACCAATACACATTGCCCGCATCGCAGCGCCACAGCCACGCCCTCGCGGATTGAATGGAATTTCATAGCCCTTTTCTTGTAAAGGGTTCAGCATATGACAAGAATTCATTGTTGTTCGACCAGGTGCCCTTCCATCCATGTCGTCCATACCCTTTTTGTATTTTTCTGCAATATGCTTATATAAAGTTTCTTTGTCTTTTGTGTCTTTAGTTTCCTGTAAATCACCAAAACAACTTTAACAACGCAATATCTTCAGATCGTCAGATGCTATATGCAGCTGGGTCAAGTCAGATAGTATGTGGACTATTTAACCGACTCAATAAGGGAATAACTGTATTTTTATATTTGCCGACACCATTAGTTGATTTCATTTATTTGAATATACTTATGTACTCGTTCATAAAAAAAATCTCGAATTTGGACTATTGACAAGTAAGTGGAGTGGCATCGGACAAGCACATTAAAATGCTTTGGGTTAATACAAAATAAGTAATATGATTACCATAGATAAGACTTTGCAGTATGATTGCCAATGAGACAACTATAAACCAGAAACCAACTGGTGTGGATTACAGATTACAATGAGCTAAACCATTACTGTATAGAAAGCTATAACAATCTAAGATTGACAATTGCATGAATTAATAGTATTCATTTTTAAGGGTTTTCAAATTCCAATGCAGACGCTAAATAGGACATATTTAATGAATATCTGAAAACACGGAAACATCAAGGTATTTATAACGTAATGTACAACACAAACAGATACAAAATACCCCTTTCTATCAAATTTAAAGACTAAAAGTTTAGTCTAAAACAAATTGTTTCCAATGTAAACATATCAGTACTTATTAAGATATATTTAATCAAAAATAAATTTTATATATTTTACTTTGAAGATTTGAAGAAAGGAGTAGGCCCAGTAAGACCCCTTTTTGGCCCCAAAATATAGCAGTTTTACAAAATTGTTAAAATGTATATTTTTAGCTATTTATTAGAAAGAAGAATACTTCTGTTACATATATATGGGCTGTTTTTGACAATACAATGCACATGTATCGGGCACTAGCATCATAAAGTCATGCTAAATTACTGAAATCTTCGAAATTTTAGCATTTTGGTTAATTTTTAGACGGTTTCCGTCTGAAATGGAAGTGGCCGCATTTGTGTTCATTCTTAATATTTAAATGTAAGTTGTATTTGATGATAATACATAACATATATAAAGGTTGAGAATGAACACGGATGCGGCCACTTTCATTTTTGACAAAAACCATCTGAAAAGTGACATATTATGGCATATTTGATAGATTTTTCATATTTAAGCTTGAATTTGAGCATCTTTAATGACTAAATCAGTTCAAATCTTTCACATAAACTAATTGAATCAACTGAAGTAGACACTTAAGTGTTTAAAAAGTGTCCAAAATCTTTCATCAGATGAACCTGAATTTTGAGGCCAAAATCGGCCCTAACCGGACCTACTCCTTTACTTTAGCAAACAGAGTTACATCAGGGGGATTTTACTAGCAATAAGAGCTCATGCAGGTGAACCGACTTTAATAAATTGCCCTTGGTGTGTTGTTTCAGGATGACTTGAGTTCCTCGCAATCATAAAACATAAAAATGCTTAATAAATAAACAGTTTTATTTTAGTGATATTGGAAATTGAATGTTCCCACAGTTTAACATGTTTAAGAACGACCCTTATAACACGTTAAGAAATTTAAGCAAAGTATGATAAAGAAATATTGCATTAAATTTCGTACGAGCAAGGAATTGTCTTACTATACAAATCTTCGGTAAAAGTAAGTGAAAAGAGAGGCCAATTCTATGGCCTAAGAGCCTGACATTATCGAGTCCAAATATATAGATTGATCTCACTAAGTTTTCACCAAGATGAGGACAATTATGGGTGAATAAATAATAAATATAACAGCTTCCAATTGCTTTTGAGCATTTCCATATGCTCAAGTCAATGGGTGTTTCGGATAAGCGAGATTTCTGAAATAAGAATGTTGGAAGGCAACACTTTTTTTTTAAAGATGAACTCAATACAATAATGTATTTAGACCTATTTCTTTTTTTTATAAAACATTATTTGTTAAAATTGCAGTAGTTATTTAATTATCTTAGTTTGGACAAGAGGAATAAATAATTGAATTATCATCGTTTAGACATAAGGAGAGAAACTAATGTTATCCGAATTTGTATAGAATACATAATACACATTATCAAGGAATAATAACTGTTCTTATCCAAATTCGGATAAGAAGAATGCATGACCTACCGCACAGAGTTAAGTATGCAATGTGACGATCCTTATCCAAATTCGGATAAGTATATCTATATTCAATATTAAGTCGTCTTTGCGTTATCCGAATTCGGATAAGAAGAAAAACAAATTGTACATAGGAGAACTTTTTATGATTTTCTTTTCCGAATTAAAGGTACCAAAAAAAAATGTGTATATCAAGCAGCCTTATTATGAAAGACTAGAGTATACATTAATTTTCTTATCCTAATTAGTTAATAAATTAAAGTGATTGGTGATTTATTGTTGTTTGTTTTACGTCCAGTGGGAAATATTTCATGTACATGCAAATTTGAAAGCAAATTATTGACGGCACATTGGGTTCTACAAGTATTTCATTTGTCATTGGTTAAGGCGAGTATGTTAGACTGCAGTAGAAAAAATACCCTCCAACATGCCATCAAAAGGAACAATGAGGACCTCTACACTGATTGTTGCGTTTTTCAGTTTAAAAAGTTTTGGCAGTGTTATATTCTCATTATACATCAGAATTTATCGTTACACCAAATCGATGCGACTAGTTCGAATATGGTTAGCCACGGATGAAAGAAGTGAAGGAATGTTTTTTTTTTCTCTCACAGATCGTTTGTCGTTCTATTTTTTCAAGGTTTTACATGTCATCATATGTAATGCTTTAAATTCATAGAAAAATATAACAAAAAGAGAAACAAGATATTCCGAAATACTGCATTTTCACACAAAAGAAAATAATATATGAATATGCAAGTTTTTGTTGTATTTACTGATTCTAAGTAATCAGTTGGAAGAATGTATCTTGAATATTTAGATACGATTGTTCGTCTCCATTCACTTTATCATTTGGATGACCATTTAACCATGAATCTGCATCGTTTGCCAGTTAGTGTTTTACCAGTAAACAAATTATATATTTTTGAAAGTTTTAATATGTTACCAAATAGATAATTAAACCCGTAACGTATAGTAAGAGATGCAGATCCAGGATTTGAAAGAGGGGCGTTGCCCCTACATAGAAAAAGTTTGGAGTTGAATAGGTAAAAAGTGTGGATGATGCAACAGTATATGAAGCATCTCAAGAAGGTGGAGGTGATGCCCTCTCCCTTACATCCGCCTCTGAGTGAAAAGAGTTCTTAAAGTAGATATGAGCACACTTTTTTCATTGAGTTTTGAATTTGCTTGTCTTTTTGCGTGTTTTCAAACATGACGATTCGACCGAATCCAGTATTGTAGTTAAGATAATCAGTACACACTTTATTTCTATGATTATATGTAAAAACTGTCAAAATTTCTGTAAAAAATGAAAATATTTAAGACCAAATCAAAACATGAAAAATTAGTTTATAATAGATAATTCTGTAACCTGACTGTTTTAGCTTTAATAGGATAAATAGTATCGTCAAATAATTGATGCAGCTCGTTGTTATATACATTTAGCATCTGATTACTTTATGTCGTTGTATGTTGCTACTTAAATCTTGTTTACATATATATAATTTACAATTTACTTGTATATAAAAATTATATATATAAACAAATACATTACCTTTTGTAAACGAAAAAAATATATATGTTTAATTAATTTCCAAGTTAGACAAGAACAAGACTCGATCACAAACTTTTTCCTGATTCATATACGCATGTACAGATAAAGTACTCTGACGTAGCTTTCCTTGTATTTCGGTGACCTAAGGTTGAATGACTTCTTGTATTTTTGTTATCGTAACAGCCTCATCTGTTTAGTATTCATGCCAATCATTACGCTCTCGATTACGCTGCACCTTTACTAGAGTGAAAAAAAAGCGAGAAAGGGTATACATAAAATGTATGCATATGGACAAATCCCTTAATTTAATTTAGTATTAGAACAAAAATCGAGAATTATTTTTAAAAAAGATTTCAACAAAAGAAATCTGACTATTTCCGTAGCGAAGAGGTATTAAGTGTCACCCTTGTCCGTCTGTACGTCCGTACGCCCCAGAATTGGTTACCATTCTCTAACTTAAGTTTGCCACAGCCAAATGTTATGAAACTTAAACGCAATGTTTATTACCACCAATCAATAATCAAGTGTGAATTTGGGTGGCGTCACTTTCACCGTTCTAGAATTATGCATGAACAGCACAAATCAAACAGCGATTTCTGGTTTAAATTAGTTGTGTTGCATCATTTCAATGCCTCCAATGTCTAAACACACGGCAGTGTCGACATGAAGTCTTAGAGATAATTGTTAGGTTTGAGCTGACAAAAGTGCTAGCAGTTCGCAGTATCACTACATCCGGATGTTGACTTCGAGTTAGATTATAATATACTCGAGAGGTGGGGGGCACTTCCTATGTAATGAGTGGTAGGGATGAGTCGCTGGAATAGGTCACTATTTCATGCTCCATGATGTATGAAAAGGGTGAGAAATTCAATTTAAATATATCACTGATCATCACTAGGTTGATGTTATCACTTGCTTGATTAAATCATAAGTATCTGAAACTATCTGGTGTCAGTATTTATTTTTGATGCGGTTAAAGCACAATCGTAAATGTATCAGCTATTTGTCCAACCAATTAATCTCTATTTATTCCAATGTAGTATTTCCACTGATGCTAGTTATAGATGCTATAAATATTGTCTGTTGAAATTTCTTCACAATGAAAGATATATAAAAGGGGCAAATAGAGGAAAGTATTTCAGAATTTATTGAAAAAAGCAATGCATTGCAAGCCCCCCCCCCCCCCCCCCCCCCCCAAAAAAAAAATCTCTATACTAATGTACCAGAGGTCTGTTTTTGTTACTTGATATATGACAAGGTATATATTTTTGATAAAGAAAATATATGAAAAGGGTGGGGTACTTGATGTCTCAGCTGCTCACCCCTACAGATACAGTTAAGTCTGCCTTATATCTTGACTTACATTTAGAGATTAAAA